GTGCTCAAAAATGCTTAGCTCAGGCTTAGTCATGCTGCTGCTTAACTGGAAGAGAAAATGTCATTGCAGTAAATTGCAATCAGATTGTTAAACTGTCTCATGTCTATCAAACTTCCCTATCAAGCAGAAATGAAAACACCAAATAGTAAAAGACACCGAGATTCCCTGTCTCCCTGGAGAACACTGCTGTTTAGTCTTTCCTAGTAGTTGAGTTTAGGAGGTTTTGTAATCTATTTTTTGTAGGAAGGGCTTATTTTCCGCAAGATCCCATCTAGACTGGCGCTTTTCTCCGGCAAAGCCCCGAGCCGGAAAAAAGTGGCAGCCATGTTCATGCAAATGCCGGAGGGGATATTTAAATCCCCCGCGGCATTTGCAATTCCGAAGTGTCTCATTAGCATCCCTTTTCCAGAAAAGGGTGCCAGTGTAGACACAGCCCTGATGTTTGCAACCCAATTAAGCATGCCAAAGAGGCTAAGAAAAGCCTTGGATAAACACTCAGAATTTTAGATCTATTGGCTATATTAAACTTCTGAAGCTTTAGAAATGTAGTAAACATCAGTAAACCTTCATGTTACCCAACAGTCCTTTGAACTCTCCATTTTGGCTCATTTGTTTGGCTTCTTTCCATATGGTACCCATTTTTAGATACTGAATTTGGAATTAAATGAGATCTCAATTTTCAAAGGCATGAGTGTTACCGAGAACAATATAGTGTTAGGTACTCACATGTTTCTTAATTTAAACATATCCACAATGAAGTGTCTTAGTAGTATTTTCACACCAAGATAACAGAAGAACCTACTGTATATTCAGAGGGGTATAGAACATCTCCTTTATCTCTTCTATTTTTAATGTTAATACTTTTGATTGTATGACATGAGATAATGACATGAGAGAGGCTATATGGGTCAGATCAATGGTCCATCTATACCAGAATCCTGTCTTCTGACAGTGGTTAATGCCACCAGGTGCTTCACAGAAAATTAACAGAACAGTCAATCACCAAGTGATCCATCCCCTGTCATTAATAGAAATAATGATGAGCTGATATTTAACAGGAATTCCCAGGTCACTTTGTAAAGTTGATATGGGAGAAGTAACAACATATGGTAGGCATTGAATTATCCAGAGATTTGAACTCTGTAGAGAGGTCAAGTTATCTGTTTTCAGTAACTCTTGTTCAGTTTTTTAATACACTGCACAATTGCCTTAACAACATCTCAGATTTCCCCCACCCATAGAAAAACCAGTCTAGGAAAAACAGAAGTAGGAGAGGAAAAGTTTGAAGCTATCAGAGGCTAGGGAAGTTGAGGGCATGGTATGCCATTGATGACTTAACCCACATTAATTAACTTAGGTCTTTTGTGACCCCTGTTATAGTTTTGGCCTTCACAAAACCACCTGGCAACAAGTTCCACAAGTTGACTGTGCATTGTGTGAAGAAGTATTTCCTCTTGTTTTAAAATAAATAACAGTTCCTTATTCACTTTCTCCATACCTATCATGATTTTATAGAATTCTATCATATGCTCTCTGAGGGTATGTCTACACTACAGCGCTAATTCAAACTAACTTAGTTCGAATTAGTTAGTTCGAATTAGCTTAGTTCGAATTAACGCATCCAGACTAAAAAACTAGTTCGAATTAGCGTTTTGCTAATTCGAACTAGCATGTCCACATTAAGTGGACCCTGAACCGGGGTAAAGGATGGCCGGAAGCAGTGCCAGCAGGGTATCAGATGAGGACTTAGAGTGTGGAGCTGCTGCCTCAGGCTAGCCGAGGGCTGTGCTTAAACGGACCCGACCCCCACCCGGGACAGACAGTTCTCGAGGTTCCCCACTTGCTTGTCTACCTCGATGAGGGACAGCAAAGCAGTCCCGACTTGGAGTGCCCTGAGTGTCCACACTGGGTACATCATAGCACTCGGCCATCAGCCCGGCTGCGCTTGCTGCAGGCTGTCATCTGGGGGGGGGGGGGGGGGGAGGGGGTCCACTTAATGTGGACATGCTAGTTCGAATTAGCAAAACGCTAATTCGAACTAGTTTTTTAGTCTGGATGCGTTAATTCGAACTAAGCTAATTCGAACTAACTAATTCGAACTAAGTTAGTTTGAATTAGCGCTGTAGTGTAGACATACCCTCAGAGAGCATATGATAGAATTCTATAAAATCATGATAGGTATGGAGAAAGTGAATAAGGAACTGTTATTTATTTTAAAACAAGAGGAAATACTTCTTCACACAATGCACAGTCAACTTGTGGAACTTGTTGCCAGGTGGTTTTGTGAAGGCCAAAACTATAACAGGGGTCACAAAAGACCTAAGTTAATTAATGTGGGTTAAGTCATCAATGGCATACCATGCCCTCAACTTCCCTAGCCTCTGATAGCTTCAAACTTTTCCTCTCCTACTTCTGTTTTTCCTAGACTGGTTTTTCTATGGGTGGGGGAAATCTGAGATGTTGTTAAGGCAATTGTGCAGTGTATTAAAAAACTGAACAAGAGTTACTGAAAACAGATAACTTGACCTCTCTACAGAGTTCAAATCTCTGGATAATTCAATGCCTACCATATGTTGTTACTTCTCCCATATCAACTTTACAAAGTGACCTGGGAATTCCTGTTAAATATCAGCTCATCATTATTTCTATTAATGACAGGGGATGGATCACTTGGTGATTGACTGTTCTGTTAATTTTCTGTGAAGCACCTGGTGGCATTAACCACTGTCAGAAGACAGGATTCTGGTATAGATGGACCATTGATCTGACCCATATAGCCTCTCTCATATCATTATCTCATGTCATACAATCAAAAGTATTAACATTAAAAATAGAAGAGATAAAGGAGATGTTCTATACCCCTCTGAAGATACAGTAGGTTCTTCTGTTATCTTGGTGTGAAAATACTACTAAGACACTTCATTGTGGATATGTTTAAATTAAGAAACATGTGAGTACCTAACACTATATTGTTCTCGGTAACACTCATGCCTTTGAAAATTGAGATCTCATTTAATTCCAAATTCAGTATCTAAAAATGGGTACCATATGGAAAGAAGCCAAACAAATTAGCCAAAATAGAGAGTTCAAAGGACTGTTGGGTAACATGAAGGTTTACTGATGTTTACTGAATTTGGAATTAAATGATAGGCTTAGTCCTCGTGGAATGAGGTTTACCTAGTTTGAACTAAGCGCTCCGCTAGTTCGAATTAAGTTCGAACTAGCGGAGCGCTAGTATAGCGCCTATCAAAGTTAATTCAAACTAATGTCAATTAGTTTGAATTAACTTTGTAGTGTAGACATACCCAGAGTCATTTCTTTTCCAAGGGGAAATGTCCCAGTCTTTTAAATCTCTCCTCATATGGAAGCTGTTCCACACCCCTTGTCATTTTTGTTGCCCTACTCTGTACTATTCTCTACTCCAGTGAAAATATATTTGAACAGTGTTCATATTGATATCTATGTAGTGTCCTGTGGAAAGACAAGAAAATTTAGCCAGGGCTCCAGGATGACTGGAAGACACCTTTTCTTGTAGTTGATCATGTGATGGATCGTACCACAACCATTAAAAGAAAAGCTGATTTCCTTCCTTCCATGTCTTGATTCAGTAATTGAGGTGGACTTCTTTAAATTAGTACATTCAGCTGAGAGATAACAAAACTGGAAAGAGTATGCTGCTAAACCCTCGAATATTATCACTTTGCTAATGTTCCTGCTAGTCAGAATGTCTGACTTTCTAATATGCTGGGGGCGGCTGCCTTCCTGCCCCACCCGTGCCAAGCCGCTCCCTCCACCCTTTCCTTCAAGACCCCACCTTCATCCTGGCTCACTTGGTCCCCTCATTCTCTCCTCATTCTTCCCCCTCCCCTGAGAATGCCTTATTCTCAACCATCCCTTTTCCCCCAGCACCTCTTCCACACTATGAAATAGCTGATCCGCAGCAGGCGGAAACACTGGGGGGAAGGGGGGGCACTGATAGGGGGTTGCTGGTGGGTATTCAGCCCCCATGGAGTCGGTGTGTATGCCGCTAGTACTGGCAAGGCTCTTAAAGATCTCATGCTAAGCCTGTTGAAATCAATGGAGATACACTAAGGATATGTCTAGACTACCGCGTTTTGTCGACGGAAGTTTTGTCGACAGATACTGTCAACAAAACTTCCGTCGACAATTTGCGTCCAGACACATGGAGTTCTGTCGACAAAGTAAGCCGCTTTGTCGACAGAACTCCGTAGTCTGGACGCAGTGTTACAGGCAATAACACCTTCTGTCGACAGAGTTCTGTCGACAAAGTGTTATGCCTCGTAAAATGAGGTATAACAGCGTCGACAAAACCACGGAGTTCTGTCGACGTTATGTCGACAGAACTCCGCGGTAGTGTAGACACTGGTATTGTTTTGTCGACAAAAGTCCACTTTTGTCGACAAAACTAGGTAGTCTAGACACACCCTTTGAAAACATATGGCTTAGCACTGTTTGTGAGAAATGCTTTAACACAAGAATTGTTATACCAGGTCAGACCTGTCATCTGCATTGACCTATGTCTGATAGTGGCCAGAACCAGCATGAGTCAGAGAAATCTCATAATGTACAAATATGGAATAAACTTCCCATAAATAAAGTTTCTTCCTCACCTCGTCAATTAACATTTGACTTACCCTCTGAATCATGAGGAGTTTATTCCTATGGTTTTAGCCTGAAGAAATCCTTATCACACTGTGCAGACTTCAGACAGAATTGGTAAATACTGCTCAGAAGAGGTTGATGATTAAACTCTTATATAATATAGGGACCAAACAACTTTTATATCCCTTCCAAGACAACAGGAAAAAACAGTGTTTGAGCCTATCTGCAGTATCCTAACCTGACTACCAGATGAAGACAAAATCTTCGATTTGTCTGCCCATTAACCCTTGTGAATGGACATGCTGCAGCCAAAGTGCAACAGATTACAAAACTTCTCCCTGGTAACATTTCTAATGTAAAATCATTTTCTTTTTTAGCTGAAACAAAGATCTGCTTCAAATACTACCATGGAGTGAGTGGAGCACTACGAGCTACGACCCCCAGTGTCACAGTGAAAAACAGTTCTGCTCCCGTAAGTTACTTTTCTATTTCTCAATTATTCTTTCTAGCTGTTATTATTCAATGTATTGCTTTCCTTGCCTGACCTTTGTATAACTTTTGGTTATGACTTTTTGCTCTTAATTTCTCTGGCATTTAGGTATATCAAGCTTGTGTTAATCCAAGAGGAACAGGGAAGTCAGCTATTTAACATACTAGCAGTTTCTGTTCATAAGCCTTAATAATCAGGACCCTTCTGACTGACTTTATGATACAGATTTAAAGAAATAGCGCACACATCCTTATACAAAGCATCATCATGTAATGTCTTCTTTAAAAAAAATCTGTCTTTTTTTTTAAATACTAGAGGCTAGCCTCTGTGTTCTAGATTGGTGATGTCACTCTTTTCCCAGGTCACAAAAACATCTACTTCAGTTTTCTCCGATCAGTTTTCTTTGCCCCAGAATTATTTATGATAGTTTTACATGTATGAAGGGACATTCTTTCCCTTTTTTCATATACCATTTAAATACCTTTGTTTGCTTTTCGTTCTTCTTACTTCATGTCTTATTGTATGAAATGTGTATTCCTTTATTAATCATGATAATTCTCACCTCTTTTACATGCTTTTCAAAGCACTTTACAAAGGAAATCAGTATTATTTTACAGATGGCGAAACCGAGGCAAAGAGACAGGGAAGTGACTTTGGAAGACAAGTTTAAAATTCAAAATGACCATAACAAATTGGAGAAATGGATTGAATTAATCAAGATGAAATCAATAAAGGGTGAAGTAATTCATTTGGGAAACAAAAATCAAATACATAATTTATTGCTTGGGGGTATAGTGGATCACACACTGGATATGAGTCATCAATATGAAGGAGCTACAAAAGAGGCTAACATGATTCTGTGAGGTAATTGTCCCACTCTATTCAGCACTGGTACAGCCCAAGCTGAAATAATGGGTCCAATTTTGGGCATCACCACAATTTAGGAAGGAGATGGACAAATTGGAAGGAGTTCGGAGAAGAGTAACAATTATGAGAAAAGATTTAGAAAAACTGACTATTGATGAAAGGTTGAAAAAATGACATGCTTAGTTTTGAGAAAAGATGGGGTCGGAGGGGGAAGAGAAAAGCAATCTAAAAGTCTTAATGAAAGGGTGAAAAAATGGCATGCTTAGTTTTGAGAAAAGATGGGATCGGAGGGGGAAGAGAAAAGCAATCTAAAAGTCTTCCAATATGTTATAGACTTCTATAAAGAAGATAATGATCAATTGTTTTCCTTGTCCATTGAAGGGTAGGACAAGAAGTACTGGGCTCAATGTGCAGCAAGGGAGATCAAAGTTAGATATTAGGAAAATCTTTCTAACTAGTTGTGACGGGTATTAAGGGTGCGACCACCCCCTCCCCCCCGGAAGGGGGGTTCAGTGGACCCACCACCTGACTTAGGTCTGGTTCTTGGGTCCCCTGCCCTCGGGACAGGTCCTTGGGTGCAATCTCCCTCTACCTAATCGGGAGGGAGGTTCAGCGAACCCGTGAGTCGCCCTGTGAAAGGGTTGAGTAGGGTCCACCACCCTGAAGTCTAGCCTGTACCCTGGGCGGGGTCCAGAAAAAGTATGTAGTAGCTGGGTGGGGTTTCCGGCTTACTGGCATGGCTGTAAACCCTTGGGATAGGAGCGGGTGGGGGAAGGGGAACCCAGGCCCGCCCTCTCCACCGGGTCCCAGCCCGGGGCCCTAAGTGCAGGGTGTGATGCTCCCCTTGCACGATGGATGGGGGTTAATCCCGAAACTCATCCGTCCACGGGCGCCAGAGGTGCACCGCCCCAGACTGCTTCCTATCCTCCTCCCAGGTGGTCTGGCCCAGGAAACTGCCGTGGGGCCTTAACCCTGCTTGATCCGCCTCCGGTCCTCCTGACCTGGCCTGGGAAACCGCCACGGGGCCTTACCCCTGCCGGATCCGCTGCGGGTCTTCCTTGGTGCTCCAGGTGGCCCACAGGACCCGCTCCGGTTCCTCCAGCGCGGGGGCAGGTCTTCCCTCCTTCAGCCAGGACGGGGCCGCCTCCTCCGTGTGCACCCCTGGTGCCTCTGGCCTGGCTGCTTTTCAAACGGCCCGGGGCGTTGGCGCCCCCCCCCCCTGCGCCGTCCCGTTCTGGGACATCGGGCGGAGCGTCAGGAGCCCCACCCCCTGAGCCTCCCTGCACTCGCCTGACCGTGCGCTCCCTCTCTGTCCCACCGGGGAGCATCGGCGAGACTTGGCCCCGCCTCCTGTGTGGTGGGGCTGTGCCGCTCCTCCTTTCGGCCCCAGTCTTGCTGAACCAGAGGCCGGGACTGCCCCAACCAGCCGCAGCGCCAGCTCGCCTTCCCCACTGCGGGTAGGGCGGGGCCTCCCCCTCCGCAGTGCGGGGCCTCCCCCTCCGCAGTGCGGATCCCCGCGGGTCCGTCACACAAGTTAACATAGTTAAGCTCTGGAATAGGCTTCCAATGGTGATTGTGGAGTCCCCATCATTCAAAGCTTTTAAATGTTGTTGTTCGTCCATCGTATTCGAAGAGGACCTTGACATCTAACGGGTTATGGACTGTCCATGGTGTGTCCGCAAATGGCTGATAAGGCCGATACGGGCACGGAATGTTCTGCCACATGTCGGGCAGACATGTGTGGGCACCACTGTTGCAGCTTTTGCAACTCTGGCTTTACGGAGTGCTCGCTTCTCTTGTGCTATGGTTGTCCTTCTGGCTTCAGATGTTTTAAATATTAGTTGTATAAACACCTCTCAGGGATGATATAGCTTTACTAGGTCTTTCATCAGTGCAGAGGTCTGGTAGATGACTTTTGGAGGTCCCTTCCAGCCCTCCATTTCTGTTTATTCAAGGTTCCCAGCAGGCTAGTGGCAAAGCAAGAAGTGGAACCCAGGTCTTCTGAGTTCCGGATCAGTGTACAACTCCCTAGATCTTGCTGCCTCCATACATGTCCATGTTAACCATAGCAATAGTAAGTCACCAGTACATTTTTCACAAGACAGCTATAATAATGATAATTTAATATAGCTTCTTTCAGACCAATAGGAGTAGAAGCATGGGATATGGAGGCAAGAAAAGATTAACCTTCAAATAGTTGTCACACAGCTCAACTGTTAAGACTAGGTAAAAAGGTTTGTGTAAAATACACTATCAGGGCATTCCAATTAAGCACACAAAAGAATGCAAATCAGGCATTTTTTTAACATATCTTACCAATACAAGACCAAGTTATGCATCTTATGAGATGCAGCCATGCTGGGGAAGAGAAACACTACCAGAGCGGCTATCAGAAAATCAGAGTACCTCCCACATCCAATCTGTGCCCTTTGCCCTTCCTACTCATTAGCATACCTGCAGAGAGGGTGGTGTAATTTACTCAGGAATTAGAAAAGAAAGGGGAAATTAAAGGAAAAAGTAATTAGAGCTAAGAATGTTTATTTGGTTGAAAGGGTAAGTGGCTGTACGAGTCAGATACAAAATGGTATTTACAGGGATGCAGTAGCTGCGAGTCCAAATCTAAAATGCCTGCAGGCAGAAAAATATACTGTGACTAGCTTCTATAAGAGGAAGCTTAAAGGTGACAATTATTTCCTTAGAAAGGGCTGACTTTCCATATTTCTAAGGCTTGGAAAACTTAATCTAAAAGATCTTAAAGCTGCAGTCTTTCGTGTTGAAATAGTCATGCTTTTTTGTTTTCCTTTGATATTATCTTTCTTTAACAATGGTTGCAATGCTCTTATAGACCTCAGCTGCCTTGTATGTTTACAGTTTGCCTCTACTGCATTGTAACACCATAAAATGGTACACATTAAAAATGCATGCCTCTGAAATTATGATTACTAAACTGAGATTGTATCTTACTTTAGTGGGTTTTTTTGTTTGTTTTGTTTATAAGTCTCTGTGTCAAAAGTTTTCTGAAAGTGTGCAAACAACAATACAGACAAACATGTCAAAAATGGTTTATGATATTTGGAATCAAGAATATGTAAAATAACAATTCACAGTACCCTGATCTGAAATAAAAGAAATAAGTACAGTAGGACTTGACTAGGTAATAGTTACTCCTTAAGTTAGGGAACACTTATTCAGTCACAGGAATAGTCTCATAGTAATTTCCCAGTGAGCCATTTGTATAGTGCAATTACACTCTGTACTTATGCTTTTCTGTATTCTAGTTACCTCCGATTCCTATAACCTGAAGGTTAACTCCACGTTCATGTTACATATTGTCCTCTTGGTAATGCATGCATTTTTTAGAATCCAGGTACATGAAGAACATTGTATAGACACCATAATCACTCTGTGAGATAGTGAACGTTCCATTTATATGTACTGGTGGAATCAAATGGCATAACCATAGTGTAGCTGAAATATAATATAACTATAGTCACTGAATTATTATTGACAACCTTGCTTAATTTTCTGTGCACTTCTCATATTTTAAATAAGGGAAGAGATTTTGCTGAAAGGTTAAGAAAGTAGTTTCTATAGTGTTTGTCCGTTTTGTTTGTTTTCACGGATATTACCAGTTCCAGCAGTATTTTTGTCCTGATTCAGCAAAGCACCTAAATTCCAATTAACATCTATGGCAAGTATACCGAATATTTCTCAAACTGATAATATCTTTCAAAAGAGAGGAAAATTAATAATTTACAGTTATTTAGTTACCGTTTAGGAAAATGTACTCACAATGCTATCTCTATTGGGGGAGGGAGGGGACTAAGCTAAGTGGAATATGCCTCTTATTTGCAAACTAAAATAACACCAAATATTTTCCTATCCTGAGTAACTTTGTATGACTTTTATAGGGAAAAAAGTCCAAAATTTCAAACATGAGCACCAATGTTTAGGTTCTAAGTATGTGTGATTAAGCTTCTAATTACAGATTTAGATGCTTTACCATCTAAATTTGCGCTCAGTTTCACCTTGCATTTATATCCCTTGACATATGAGGAATTCAACGCATTCTACAGATATTAATTAAACTTCATACCACATACAGAAAACAAATC